ATTCTATCTGTTCAGTGTCATTTTACTGAAGCATTCAAGTAGCTTTTAAGATATTATTTTTTTATGTTTTAAATAGGGCTGTCAAGTGATTATTTAAAAAAAAATTATTACATAATGTGCTGATTAATTAATCAAATGAATCTCAAATTAATGAGATTAATTAACACGTAGCCTACGTCACGTGCCGATTAAAGATAAAGTTATTATTAAAGATTATAGTTATCATTGTGTTAATTTAGAAAAAAAAAACACTGAATAGACATTACAAGAAGGTAGCTGAAATATAAGTAGCTTTAGGAAGAAATATTTTAATTCAACATAAAAAAACACAAATAAATAGTGAAATATGAAATTAAATTATGAAATTAAGTTATGAAACGATACTCTGAATATAAAATTAAATGCACCAGTAGGTGGCGGCAAATCCCTGTCTTAAGTGAGTCATTCAATCATTCATTCAATCGATTAGTTCAAATGGCTGATTCATTCAGAAACGAAGCAAGTGACTGCCTTTATGAATGGTTCACTGAATCATTGATTCACTCGATTCATTTAAAAACGTGGATTCATTAATGAAACACCGCTGTGTGTTGATCTGAGACGCACAACAGTTCTCCTAGGGCTTTATTTTCGTTGGTGAAATTACTGACAATGTGTCTAAAATGTAATTATTCACACTTTTACCTTATCTTCAGTTATAGGTAAAAACTTTTATGTAACTTGTTTTTGTCTTTCTACCAGCCAATGATGATTTTGAAAGAAAGCACAGTTTATAGTAACACATGCAGCTTTCACACGCATCTGACTGACAGAACCGTGCGCTTGTATTTCAGCGGTGCTGTTAATGTTATGGTTATTTTAGAAAATAGTTTGCTCCGTAAATTCAGTTCAGCAGCATTAAGTTGAAGAGGGTAAACTTTATCACTCAACTGAATGCATTAGGTGTTCTTGCTCCGTCCAAGCAATTAACACACGTCTTTGAATGAGCGCTGTAGCGTATTCTTCAACCGCTCAGGTAATGTCAATACGACCCATTTTATGGGCTGCCAAAATTATATTTTTAAAATCAGTTAGGGCTATAGAAGTGCATATTAATATTTACAAGTAAATTTCCATATTATGCGTAGGTTAGCCTTCTTTCTATCTGACCCCCCCTACATCTACACTCTAAAAAATGCTGGGTTAAATATAAGATTAAAAAGGGACAAACCCAGCTATTGGGTTGTTTTGACCCAGCGGTTGGGTTGTTTTGACCCAGCGGTTGGGGTCAAAAAAACCCAACCACTGGGTCAAAACAACCCAATTGCTGGGTTTGTCCCTTTTTAATCTTATATTTAACCCAGCATTTTTTAGAATGTAGTTTTGACGTCCATCAGGGGGGTTTAAAGCCTTCTTTAGGGGGGTCAGACCCACCCCCAACCCCCCGTAATTCGCACCCTGCACGCGCACAGACACACACACACACACACACTAATAAAGAATAGATTATGTGAAGTACATTAGAGCATCGCGGCTGATTCACGGCGACAGATGGTCTAAACTTACACGCATGGAGCCGGTGATGTTGATGGCCATCTCAGGTGACAGGGAGCGGAGATGCCGATGCTTCTCACCTGAGCAGCTTCAGTTTCACTAACGGCGCATCATAACAGCAGTGAAGCGTTAAATAGGCTACCCAATATAGTAATGAAGCAGATGCGATGAACTGCGTCCTGTTGCGCTGCTGTGCTCGGTCATAAAGATCAAATCCACGGGGCCATTTCTGCAAAAACGCGCGTGAACTCCCTCGATTAAACACATGAATTAGTTTTATTTTTCTCCCGGTTTAGATTGGATCGCGTTCATGAATGTGCAGCATAATGAACAATGGGAAGTTGTTTCTCCTGCGTCTGGGAAAGATATTCATACATTGGGTAAATTACGTCCAAAATTATACTCTAAAGTACATTTTCGGATGCAATCAAAGATCAAATCAAAATCTGAAAGAACCCATAGGTTGAGCGATCCCGGTAAGGTCCACTGCTAAAGAGAGGTTCACCAGGAGCGTCCCGCCGCCGTCATTCTGTGATGAGACTAAAGCACGCGCAGGAACAGGTGCAGTGCCGAAATTTGCACCCTGCCAGATTATGCACCCCCTAGTATTGGTAGGTTTAGGAGTAGATGTGGGGGAGGGGTTAGGATTAGGGGTGGGGTTGGGATTAGGCAATCAGGTAGCGACTTCAACGAGGGGGTGCATAATCTGGCAGGGGTGCAGAATTCGGCACAACACCGGCACCCGGTGATCTCGAGCTTCGCCGCCTGCGCGCACCGGAGCGTGGTCATGTGATGGACGTTGGTGAGAACGCTTTCGTTTTCACTTTAATCGTCTAACCACACGTGTTGAGCTTTATGCAAAGTGAAATTCAACAATGACTTGACATAACATTACTGCTTTCATAATAATTATGTCAGGTCGTCGTCCTATAAAAATCTGGTTGAAATGCGCCTGTTATCTTGGTCGAGCAGAATTTTGGGTGAGTTAGACTTGAAATGTCCCATTCAAACCAGTGAGCTGTGTTTATTAACGCATTCTGCAAATTCATCCAGGATTACAGCAGCGATGATATATTGCATGCAAATGCTGTTAATCTGTCTTTACACACTGAATACACAACAAGCAATTTTGCGTTTAAAAGACGTCTATTAGACGTCTAAATATAGCCTAGACGTCTAGGCTTAAAACGAGGCTAAATTTGGGCTGTCAGTGAAAATCTAATAGACGTCTAATCATAGCCCATTTATAGACTAGTCATCAATTAGACAGCTATTAAACGACTACATATATATGTCTAATAGACAACAAAATGGCAATCCATACATACAGCTTTTATTAAGAAAAATAACATTTTTAACAACTTGGACAACTTAAGACAATACAAAATGATAAAAATACAAAATAATTAATGACAAAATAAAATGTTATAAATACAATACACTTAAATATAAATGTTATGATAAAAAATCTGGAGTTTTTAACAACTTAAGATAATAAAAATGAAAAAATAAAATATTTTATTTTAACATTAATATATTAAGATATTTCAAAGAAAAAAAAATCTAATACACAGGGAGACGCTGTGTGTTTCGCGGCGAAAGCAAAAGCACTTTTTTTGTCCTTCCGAAAGTAGATGCATTTAGGAATCTTTTACTTACAACAGAACAGCAATGCATTTTATGGACGACTGTTTCGTGAACCTAGGAGAGGAGGTCATTCAGAC